CTTTATCCAAAACACACTGCAGTGTGCTTATTGAGTAGGTCAGGGACTAACATACCAATCTCTATGACAAGTGCATAATTTACTTTCTGATTGTTTGTGGACCCTTTAACTTTTGTCATTCCCTTTGACCATAAGCGTTTGCAAATCATACGTACTTCCTCCCCTTTAAGCATGGGACATCACAACTCAGAGAGCAGCATTTAACTCACCCGTACATCAGTACTACCTACTGTTAACTACAGTTTTCTCACCACTCAATTAATTTATTTTTTTTCACTTCTCCACGGAGTAAAACCTTTCTTGTTATCTTATGCCAAGTAATGTATTGAGTCAGAATTAGCAATGCTTCTAATTATCAAGTCATTTTGGAAGAAGCAGTGGAAAAAAAAAAAAAAAAATTACCAACCTTTGACCTCCACTAAGTTCCATTAAGTTTTCCTTCCAAGTGTTTCCTAAGGCAACTTTGAACTCCATACCTTTGAAGACATTCTGAGTTTTAGAGGCTGTTAGCTTAGCTTTGGCTCCTGGTAGGAGTGTTGAGAAAATTGAGCCAAAGTCAGCATTCACCTAGAAGTCAGACCACAGAAGATGTGTGCATGTGCCTCAAATAAACAGCACAAAGAGCTAAAGACAGCATTCAGCTTCACAACACTCAAGACATGTTGCCCAGTTTAACCCAACTGACCTCTCATGCCTTGAAGATTAGCACATACTGAATAGTGTTAAAATACTGGCATGGAAAACCTTTTATTTTCTCTATACTGAGGAATAAGAAACACCAAAAGATATGTAACACCTTATACTAAGCATCACAGAGGAATCACATGAAAGAAGTATTAAAAGCTTTCTTTATGCCATCAGCCAAGGAGGGAAACAGCAATGCCCTAGTGCAGGTTTATTAACTGGTAAATTGTGATTTCTCCCAATTGAAGGACATTGAAAGTATAAGCACTGTGTAAGAAGCACACACTTGCATCTTCCCAACTCTTTTTCTTCCACAGTTTACTTAAGGAATGTCCAGGTATTGGATTGGATGCAACTTTGTAAATGCAGATGAAAACTTCCTCGGTTAACGAATGTATCTGAAAACACAATTATCCCACCACCCATGATGTTTTTGAATACGGTTCACTAATTTTTGCTAAACAAGATTTTTACCATTTTGTCAGTCATATCTTGAGTGCAAGCAGTAATAATTAAAACAAATACTCCATTTGTGAGCAATTTAATCTTAGATAAAACTGATCTTCTCAAAGACCAAAACATACAAGCTGTCCTGGTACAGCAGAAGACAATGTGTCAGAAGCTGTTCATGTAGAGAGGGAAAATTTTATACTTTTGTTTTAATTCACTATGTGAGAGAATGAGTAAGAAGGCAGAGTGCCTATGTAACAGGAACATAAATCAGGTGTTGTTTTGTCCCAGTATTACCTATCCTCTCAGTAACAGGAACAGTACCTCAGGTCCACAGCCCCACATTGTAGGGGAACACACAGAACCATGAGATTTAACTCTGGTGAAATACTGGTTTAAGAAAAAAACAACCAGAAAAGCAGACTATATTTCAGCATGACAGCAGCTTAACCTTCCTTAAATTTTTGTGGGCACTATGAGGGAATCATTAAGCAGTTTTGCAGGTTTAACTGCATCATGTCTCCGTTTCAGAAGTGAGAATAAACAGGAGAAATGAAGCAGGTGTTTTGTAATTTAAATATTAGGCAATGGATATTCTGAAAAGTGATTTTTTCCCCCCTGTGGAAATATGCAAAAGAGTAAATCTAAGACAAATCTGATCCTCTGCTAAAATGTGAAAATTAGATATTGACATTACCTTTTTCCAAGCAACATCTAAAGCTTCATTTTTCTTCTGGTCAAGCTCTTTAATAGTTTGGAGAATCATCATCTTGTCCTTCTCTACAATATTTCTTTTCTCCAATAGGTCCTTGAACTGGTGCAATGAGAAGATAATGTCAATGAACTCGATGCTCAAACACCTTTTGTGCTAATCTCACAGCATTACCGTATGGCTTTCATACTACAAAATAGTCATTAACCACAGCATTGAAATCTGATGCATTCCTTTACCTGCATGGAGGATGTAAATTTTGGGATATGATTTACAAATTGAGACATCAGAATTTTCAAAAACTGGCAAAGGGGAAGACCAACATTACTCTGAAAGTTGCACTTAAAGAGTTAATCATGTTCCATTTGCTTTTCCATAGAAGCAAGGGTGCTCCTGGAGGCTGACAGGAGGAGATGTGTATGTACCACAGTGGGCAGATTTGAAACAGTCTTGCAATAGCCTGAAGACAGATTAGTTTGACATGACCCTGGAACACCTTCAAGCTACCATGCTCAAAAAACAAATCATTTTTTGATCTCCAACTTCTAATACCGTATATAGTCCTTGGATGCTCTGATGGATGCCACAAATCTTGCCTAATGCTGCTGCCAGCACAGGAGGGACTGGGTAGGAAGGAAATCAAGTCTTTTTACCATCCAAAGTCAAGAATATGAATAACCTAGAAAACTGGTATGCAAGTTCAAACATGTAAGATTGGTATCTAGCACAAGGTTTCCTGTTGTCTCATGAAGATTCAGTCTTATTTTTGGTGTATTCATAAATAGACCGTATGAAAATACAAAGCTACATTATGTATGTGTATACATTTTATATACCATACACTCAGCCTGCCCAATTCTTACAGGTTAAAGCACAGAATGTTTACCCTGTCCTCTGTTTCAGTAAGCCTGGCTGGAGCTCTTATGTTCACATTTCTTCTCAACTTCTCTTTATGTTCCTTCAATTTTTGCAGCTCCTGACTTACAGCTTCAGGCTTGAGACTGTTGAAATCATAGTTTGTGTTTGGCTGACCAAAGTATTTTTTCTCTGAAGCTATCCACTTGTACGTTTTCAGCATTTTGACCACCTGTAAACAGGAAGATATGCTGAGGTTTTCCCTCCACCCTATTCGAATGTGAACTAAAAATAAGAAAACAGAAAAAAACAAAACCAAAAGAACATCCTGAAATAACTCTACAACACTAATTCTCCTACCCCAGCGCACCACAAGTGCTTATCTCCACACTGCTTTGTGTGATTTCCTTGACTGTAGACAAACCCAGATTTTAAGGGAGTTTTCACATATATCTTACTCACCTGAAACACTTTTTTTCTCTATTTGGACTATGCCAATGTCACTAAGACTTGGAATTACCTTCTTTAGTTATCTAATTTGTCTATAGAGTCCAAATGTTCTTACTGATCAGATTCTTGCTGTGATCTACTCTCTGTTATTCCACACAGATAAGCTCTGTTAAAATGTACAGCTTCCCACCCCCTCTTCCTGTGATAAAACTTTTCACATCAAAAGCTTCAAATATGACAGTGCCTAATAAGAAAAAAAAAGGCCATTTCGTTTGCATGTGGCAAGGGAAATACCCACTCATGGTCACAAGATGCAAGGAAAAGCACAGTTCTGAAATACCTTCTCAGCAGCCTCAGCAGTCTCTTCTTTACATTGGGTCACCTTGTGTTCTAATTCTTTAATCTTAAGCTGTGATTTATTATTTTGTTCTCTACACTGTGCCACCTCTGTAGATTTGGCTTTAATTCCATTATCATACAATGCAATTTCTTTCTTTAGCTCGGTCAACACCTTCTGTGAATTCTTTACAGCTTCCTGAAAAGCAAATCAAACAGGTATTTTTTTGCCTCTTCTAAGGCTGGTGTTAGACTCTTACTGGAACAGACACAGCAAGGAAACAAAATTCACATGTGAAAACCACACAAACAAATAAATTACCTAGGCTAGACATAACTGAGTGCTGGTAAGCAAATCTGGAGAACCAAATACACATTATAATTCAGTTTGAGCTTTAGAGGATCATATCCTCAGCAACATCAAAACACAGGTAATGAAACACAACATTTCACTTTTACCTCGAAAAATGGCATCTCAGCTGCCATAGCATCAACTTGCTCCTGGTAGGATTTGATTGCTTCCTCTACAGCCACTATCTGTTGTTTACAGGAGGCCTGTTCTTGTTTCAGCTCTTCAAGTTCCAGAACTAAAGCTGCAAATTTCTAGAGAGATGTTTTGCAATTTACTACAATTATACTTAAGTAGAAAGAATTAAGATTCAGTTTGATGTTGCAGAAGATGAACAGCACCTGTTATTCAGCAAGGGGACAATCTCACAAAACGCCCAAAAAACCCTCAGCAATTTCTGCGTCAATGACTACAGAGTCTACATTAAGTTCCAGAACTGAGGGGTATTAAGTTCCAGAACCTCATGATTATCAAACTTTCTAATTTCCGCAACCACTTTGAGCGTTGAGAAAACTGCCAACAAAGGTGAAGTTTTACCTGCTGCATATCCTTTACTTTTTTGCTTGAAGCAACTGCCTTTTTCTTGGCATGATGTATTTTCTGCTCAGCAATCTTTCGCTCATTTACACATTCTGCTTCTGCATTTTTCATTTTATCCTCTAAAGCCTTGTATTTGTCTTCTGCTTTCTTTTTGCTCTCTTTAGCTTTGTTTAATGTCTCTTCATACTCGGCTGAATCAAGAAATACAGTACTAAGATTAGGCACTGTTCTCATCTTCAAATTTACATCCTGAACTACTGAAATAAGTCTGACTTTGCCTCCAACAGAGCAAAGTGGCCGTACACTTATTAGTTACTGAAGTCAGATATTTCACTAATTATTCCAAGACGGTGTGCTGGTGTTACCAGTTACTGGTAGGGTACCATACAGACAACCAGTCATTAAAATTGATGAACATACATGGTTTTGATTGGGCTTTTTTGACAGGGTGCAGTATATGCCAAATCACATGATCAAGAAATAATTAATCAGATGGCTATGTAATATGATAGGACCTCATCCGTAGAATACTATGTCCAGATATGTATCACTTCTGGCCATTTTTTCCTTTAGATGTTTCACTTGTCGTTGCATTTGTGCCCTTTTATGCTTTTCCTTAGCTACACAAACACTACTTCTTTTCAATGCTTTGTTATGCAAAATACATTACTAACCCTAAATATCTACACAGATTACTTGAAAACATCATTACTCAAATCAAATACTACTCAACTATGGGATTAAATCAATTTATAAACTTCCCTACAATAAAAGAATATACAACACTTAAGAGGGTTTACAACAAGAGAATGACCAACTTTATGCGAATCTCCTCTATGCAAGCCTACTGCAGTTCTGTATTACATTTTCCAAAATATAAAGCTAGTCTTTCTAAAGCAAAAAAATATTAGTTTCTTAAGCAAAGACTCTGCTACTCAAACAGCCTGATATGCATCTCGTTCTTAGTGAGTTGTTTTCAGTTAAAGAGCAAGAACACATTTGTCACCAATTGTTTTCTTCAGGGCAAGCAGCTCTTCCTCTTGTTTGTGATACGCGCTTTGATGAAGCTTCTTCTGCAACAGCTCTGCATTCTCTGCCTGCATCTCCCATTGCTGCTTCAGTTGCCTGTACCTTTGAAGACAGTAGCGGCACACACTGGTATATCAGCTGGTACACAGCACCTCACCTTCAAAGCTGAGCTAAGTAGACAAATACCTACATTCCCATTCTAGTGTAAGATACAATGACTGTAGGACAGATGAGCTTAAATGAATGAAAGTCGGATATAATGGCATTAATAGTAATAATTAATTGTGAGGTTTATGGGAATGTAAGTCATTGTCTATATAACTCCTGTTGTGCAGCCCTGATGAGATGTATCAAAACCAAATGCAGCACATGGAATTTGGGAACAGCCAGGAGATCACATTTTTCCAACTGGCAGCATGATGGATGATAGACTGAAGCATTAAAGAAAAGATATATCAATGCAGAAGTAATTTCTTCCTTTTGGCTGTATTTCTGAAAGTCTACTGCAACTCAAACCAATTAAAAAAATAAATCCAGCTGGTAGGTAGCATATTGTGCAACACTACCTCCTCATGACATTTTTGCAGGTCTAACTTAACATATTTTCCTAGTCTGTCTTTTAGAAAGGTATTCAGTAATTGAATAGCTGAAAATCAGTTATACTTAAAATTATTTAATTTAAGTCCTTACAGTAGTACCACTCAGATATTTCTTTCTAGGATCTTTATATTTTCTTGTGAGAAAAGTAAGAGCTATCACAATCTGGAATTCTGTACGGGTGTTACAAATATAGTGAATGTCATGAAACTTGAAGTAATTTCAAGCAGATATCAATGTATACTTTTTCCCTGTATTACCCAAAATAAAGCTTTCTTGCATTTGTTATCTAAAAACTAATTTTGCTTTTTGATTGCTGAATTGACAAGTTAAATAGGGAGGAGAGGAAGAAAAGGAATAATTTTATGCAAATTACATTCTCAACAGGCCCAACAGCCCTCAAAAACATTTCTTCGTATTAAATTTCCTCAGTCACATAAGGGAAATGATACACACTTTATAGCGCAAACCTTACTTTTCAGAAACATTCTTCAAGATCGCCAACTCCTTCTCTACAGCCTTAAGTTCAGTTTCCTTTTCCTGGATTTCTACTTCAACCTTTTTTATTGCTTGAAGCTTAGGCAGGATTGCTGCAGACTGTGAGGATGCACCTGCTCAGCGGGGAGGAAAAAAAAAAGAAAAGTCTGGCTAAGTGGAATTAAAATCGTGGATTTGCCACTGGCAATAGCAAATTCTAAACGTTAATAACAATGCAAGGCAGCTGGGCTAAAGATACAGAGTTCTACAGGCTTTGAGTACCACACATGCATGTCCTATGCAATGAGCTAACTTTTCATAGTCTATGAAATCATCTCAAATCAATTATCAGTTACTTCAAAAAGTGCTTGAATTCAAAGCATTTCTCTTTCCAAGAGGATGATACAACCAAATGCGATATAAAATCTAAATTAGTTCATGCGAATAGTTTGTCATTAATTTTTTTCTTAACCTAATTAATATTATTTCAGCTCAAGACAATCTTAGCTCAAACAGGTTACATTATTCTGAGTCCAAACATAAAGGTTTATAAAAACCATGAGAGCAGTAAACACATCAAGAGACACACAATACTGTTATATGAATAAACCCAGTAATTGCCTCCATGCACAACGCCTTGGGGGTCAAACACATCTCCATCAAGCGTAACACTTCGCATCATTATCCTTCTGTCAAAGGTCACTTCCTTAGCAATATCCATGTCGTTGCAGATCAGTGTTGTTCCAAAGACATATTCCATTGCAACATGCAGTTCAGGTTCATATACAATTAGTGAAATGGCTAAACACAATTTATCAGAACCAGCCTAGAAACCAAATGAAATGCAATTAGTATGTCTTAAGTTATAAGAATTTTTAAATCTAATTTTTGACTTCTGCTGATGAAAACACTTTCCAAAAGCATTATTACATTTTAAAATTATTTCAGTTACATGTGAAATAATCAATACTTATTTAAACATTGCATCACTGAAGGGACATAAAGAGGGGGGAAAAAAAAAGTCAATATACCCTCCGACCCTATAGAAATTGTCAGTATAACCTTTAAGAAGCCCATGTTTGAACAAAGAAACAAAACACGACACAAGCAATAGAATGTGAGTAGTGTATTTATTTACGTACCAAGCTTTCAGCCAACTTGATTACGTTTGGTTGCACCTTCCTGAATGAAATCTGATTTAGTGGAATGATGGTGTATCGAGTCTTTAGGCAACCACCTTTTAACAGCTTTTTGCCAGTATCCTCAAATAAAAAGTTACAAAGCATACCTGAATACATAATTGATTATATAAAGTAAGGCAACTGGGCATCGCAAGAAGAATGCCTTGTTGCCACTAACTGCACAACCCTCTTGCCCCAATTTAAACATGCACATGCATCAAAATCCCTCCAGGCATTCAGTAACTATGCACATATTCACTAACCCTCAATCACACAAGCACATCTCAAAAATCAAGAGCTCTGTACTAAAGCAATAAACTTACCACTGTGTCCACAACAATGTTAAAGAGTTTTGCTCCAGCCACTGCTTCCAGGGCTATTGCTTTGGATAGATCTTCCACAGTGAAAAGAGACATAATCAGGCCTTTCACTTTGCTTTCATTCCAATTTTTTTCTGGATGCCTTAAAACAAATACAAATTATCTTAACCATGTTTGGCTTTCTCCCATACATCTTAAAAAAACCCTGTATTTAAAACTTATAATGCTTATTATACTGGTATAAGAAATTCTAAATTCAATTTTAAAAAAAGCCACACAGAATATGGTTAAATTAAATCCTTCAGGGCAAGAGACTTGCCAATAAAGTCAGTTACACAGTCATTAAGAGAATGTCCTTCCCTGGTTTTAGTATCATTTGCTCACACAATTTTCAATTGATTTTTCCTATGGGTTCTATTATTACCACAGCCATAGGAGTATGTTCAGCCTGATTATTACACGGACAAATAAACCTGGAGACACAGATGTTTGATTTCTGGAGACAGATACAGCATTGGTCTCAACAGAGCAAATCTACTCATGGTCTGCAGGAAGGACTCAAAGTAATGATTACTTATTTTTGTAGTTTAGACCCTTGGATTCCGTAGCTTTAGCTACAGAAGTCATGACTTGCAAACATCTGACTCTCCCCCTCCCCGCCTTCCCGTTCACATGGAGCACAGGTAAAACAGTTGCTATTCACTGACACTCAAAGGAAAGCAACAATGAAGCCACTGGTGGAATTATCTGCTAAGTCCCATAAGTCATGCAAAAAATGCCCCCAAAAGCACTTTCAAATGCCTTTCAGGATCATGCTGAGATCTTACCTGTATTCAAACCGTAGATGTGGACACTTTGCCATTAAACCTTCATGCAATTCCCTGAGACGAATGATGTCACAAGTCAGTGCCTTCTTTTTTGCTAGAAGGGCTTCTTCTTTCTCTTCTTCAGAGTTGAACACAAGCAGTAGACACAGATCAACAGCACAGAAATCTATTAGCTTAAAAGTTGGTATCCTACCCTGTTTATCTACATATAGGTAGAGAATACTTAATTGAAAGACTTTGTAAAATTCTGTGTAGATTTCCAGTTTAGACAAATTTAGACTATCACGATCCCAAACATGTAAAGGAAAAGCTTGAAGTCCAATGCGCTTCTCTAAATGTCATTCTGTAATATCAGTGTACAGTGATTAGTAGTGTCTGGAACAAATTTTACCTGGAATGAGAAATAAACTTTAAGAGGTGTGTTAGGTAGAGAAAACCAGGAAGGAATCTGAGGTTGGTCACTTTTTCCATCTAAATTTTAGCTGGAATTTAAATTTTCCATCGAATATTAAAACATTTGGCCTAAAGTTTATAAAACCACTCCCTGTCCTTATCTCAACCCATA